CACACACAGACACACACACACACACACACAAGAACACAAGCACACAAGCACACAAACACACACACACACACACACACACACACACACACACACACACACACACACACACACACACACACACACACACACACACACACACACACACACACACACACACACACACACCCAACACACACACACACACACACACACACACACACACACACACACACACACACACACACACACACACACACACACACACACACACACACACACACACACACACACACACACACACACACACACACACACACACACACACACACACCACTTCCCATTGGCTTGATCCCCGAAGTACATCCCCAGGTCTGGCTGCTTCTTGGCCAGCAGAGGGAGGCCTCGGCACCATTCCTGCAGCAGGGCGGCCCGGTCAAACGAGCAAAAGTGCAAGCCAGCCCGGCCATTTGAGGAGGGGTTGCATTTGCAAACCCAATTTTTCAACTTTTCACCCCCCCTCCCATGTCCGCTTTCTGCTTTTTGAAGGTCAACTCTTGATTTCCACAGTTTGTAGACCCAGGGAGGGATTCACCAAGGGTGTAGTGCAACCCGGGATTGATTTTGGCACAGGAGTTGATACGAGGGCCATACTTGGCATACTTTGATGTGCATCAAAGTCTTGGGGCAGTCTCATAGAAAGTCATTGCACCCCAATCTCACGACAGTCACTGACTCATTGACATGCGCATTTCCAGATCTGCAGCCCCACAGGCCTGACCTCGACAAGACCTTGCCCTCGTCGATGCATGCTGCATCACTCTGGGCCATGTGCTCAGCAAAGCAAGGGAAGTCATGGTGAGCAACGCAGGGTATTCACTGTAGGAAAAAGGGATGACATGGCGCACTCTCACCAAATTAACATCAGACGACTCGCCACATTCCCGGCCGATGTGAGGATTCAGGAGCATGTCGCGATTCGTAGAAGTGACGCATAAAACATATACACGCGTTTGGTCACTGGAGACAGTATGCTTGGGGTCAATCCGTCACGTCACAGAGCAATTGCTCAGATCAGGCAAACAATCTGTTGAACTAGCACTTGTGTGGGTTGATTTGATCAGTGCAAGGGTATGGATTGCCACCAAAGTGAAGATAAGATAATATCGCGTGTACCTGGACTCAGGCTCACAACGTTATTTCTACTTGTCGCAGTAATGATGACACTGCCTGCGTTTGCTTTGCTCACTCTTCGGTAGATTTCCAGGACATTTGAGAACCCACCCAGCCTCGTTGGAGTACAAGTGGCAATGAAACTGCGAGTCTTGGCATGCCTGCATTTGCATACCACAAATTCTGGGCATGCCTTGCGAGAGGCATTGAAGTGCCCCAGCACTCACACCAGGCAACTCGATATACATATACATGTATACATGTATATAGACGTTCCTTAAAGCAGGCGAATCAAGATATAGACAAAGAAAGGGAGGTTTGTTTCTAGCAGACCTCGTTGAGAACATTGGAAGCCCAGGTCCCCCAGGCTGGCTCCCTTGTGAGGCGGACTCCTGGATCCTGGAGCAGCGACCCGAGTACCGCTGGGGCATTTTCCTACCAGTCTGGCGCTGAGGGTCGGTGATTTGCCCCAGGCCAAGCGACGAGCCGTTCGGCCTTGATCGCAGCTTCAAACGCGCTTAGTGAGCATTGGCTTGCCCTGAGCGGGGGGTCGCCTAAAGAAAGGGCGGCCGGGAAAGGAGTGTGTATTTTCTTCCCTGTTCCCAGCCTCCCGCTTTGCAAGGCCTTGGGCCTGGTGGCGCCGGCTGCTGCTTGGACAGCATCTAAGCGACGAATGATCCGGGGCAGCTGTAAAGTCGGACGACGATTGATGTTATGGCGAAGCCCTGCTAGTTTGGGGGTGTTGTGCTCTGGCCTGATGGTGTGCGTTGTCCCCTCAACAAGAAATCATCACGCCTACCAGTTCAGCAGTGATGATTCATGGCATGCAGATTTGTCCTGGTTGGAGAGATGCTTTGTTTTTTGCCAGTGGAGAGATTTGAAGCATCAGAGGACAATGTTGGCTTATCTGGGTTTGTGGCCGCATGCTAGCAAACAACGGAATGGCAGTGGGTTCAAGAACGTTTCCTGTCTAAGAGCTTTCCAGCGTTTCCTGGCGGTGAATGTGAGTATGCATTGAACCCATCGCTACATATCACTGCCAAATAGACTCGGCTTGTTGACAATGGATGACGCTCTTGATTCGCTTGCTGGTTCGCGAGTTGATAGCTCAGCTATCAAGATGCTGGATATTTTCGTGCCTGGGCACTCGAGTCAAACTGGAATTTCATCGATTTGCATTCCGTGCATAGTTCTTGGCAGAACATCTGTCCATTATTTGCATGCAGTTAGGTGATTCGCTTGGACTATTGCCACAAATCAAGCTTCCACCCAGCAAACAAGGCAGATGCCAGAATCATGAAGCCCCTCATGCTTTGAATTGACACAAGTAGTATTGCTTTCCATCAGGATGGTGGGATAGGTGGTTCAGCCAACGCTTATGAACATTTGAGTGACTTGGTGAACCCTCGGCACAGCAACATTCCCCCCCCCCCCCACAGCAGGACATTGCAGATATGTTGTAGACTGAAACGTGGAAGTAGCTTCAGCTCTCCGTCGCTCAGGGAGTCTCTCTTCGAGGTTCGTTTGTCCTGGTATTTCGAGATCTTTTGCCCTGAAGCCTACCAAACAAAGTGGATTTGGCGACACCCATTCAACCTTCTACTTGTTGAGACAAGTGCGTTGTTTTCAATAGCTAGGCAGCAAACCCTTGGCGCTTTTTGGGAAGGCAGACGCAACATTCCTTGAGTAGGTGGTTGAAGCCCTGTGAGAGCAGAAATGTCTTGACCTCCAAGCAGATTGAATGAACAAGAGACCCTTTGCAGCAGGTTTCAAAAGCGCACAAACTCATGTTGGTGTTTGGAAGCATGGCTATCTGTTTCCCAGTCGCCACCTAACAATTGGAACACCGTCTATGTGCTGAGGCTAGCATTTGCTTTGGAGGCTCGGCAGGGACCGGGTCAATTTTGTCAAGCCGAGCTGATTTTAGTTTCCTTGATAACTGATAGTGCTGGCGAGATAACATTATGTTGCTCCAGTTGATGCTATGTTGAAACCTCCTACAATCAATGATCTCATCAAGCAAACACCACCTTCCACGGGTTTGCAGATGAAAAGCATGTACGCGGAGGCAACATTGCTGCAGTCATGCTTGCAAGTGGAGCAAAATCGTTTGGCATCACCTAGCCTATAGAATGGATGGCCTTGCATTGTTCATTTGATCGCTGGCGTGGCCTACCTCGCTGCTCTCCAACAAATAGCCGCATACACGAATCAAGTCACATGGCACAGGCAATCTAAATCACCGCCAGGACACCAAGACAGAATCTGGTAGCCCTCGCAAAGCAATGATGTTGCTTGACTCCTTTAGCACAGTCAACGGTATCGCAAGACCGAGGGACAACACGGAAGTCAGCTAGAAGTGGATCTGTCAAGCTTGAGTACGAACCCCACCATTGCCAGGAACAAGTTGGTTAAACTGAAAACACCCTTGCAATCGGAGGAACTGGGGAACGGGCCAAAAAAGGCCTGCCACAGTCCGCCACCAATGCGGACGAGCAGGGCATGATGCATCAAACTCGATTGCCTTGAAGTTGCTAAGCTTGTTGTTCAATGAGTATGCGGAAGTACTTCCACAGTTTGTGCGAGGCGCACCACCGTGCGCACCAAGCACCTTTGCGCCCATCCTGTGCAGGGCTTAGTTAGGAGAGACGCAAGCAATGCTTTCGAAACACGCAGTACCTTTTGCCCGACCACCATGCTTGGTAATGGTAGCCGTTGTTACTATTCAAGGGGCATGGAACGGCGGTGGTTGGATCGACTTTTCTTGTTGGCAGGTTTTGTTTTTCAATTCAGGAGTGAATGTCATCATTCAGTTGTGCAAGTATATACTCTTCGAGCTAGATGCTCTCCAATAATCATCCAATATGTGTCAACACCCGCGTATACGTCATATATGTGCCTCTTGAACGTGGCACATCAGGCAAATGAGTAATGCGTTCGCGTAGTACGCTTTTCTTTTCGTGCAATACGTTTTTACAAGTCATCGGACGAGTCATTACGTTCACGTTGCTTGAACGTACCATTTTGCAGGACTTGGCTAGATCTGAGACTGCATTTCAAGAGCTGCAGCATCAAAAGCAAGCATCCCAATTGTTCGCTGGATGCACCAACTTTGCTGTATGAGGAAATTGCCACCAGCATCCAGGTTGCCTGGCCTTGTTGGAATCATTCACCTCAGGTTCTGTTCTTCAGTTGTCGCGTTGCTTGGTCTTGCTGATAGATTCGGCGACGCCGTTTCTAATCATTGTTCTGTGTGCGGTTCTGCGACCCCACCATACCTGAATATCGCAGATCTGAGATGTTCCATTTTTTTTGCTTCAGTCCAGCTAAGGTTGCTGCTGTCAATCGCAGCCAGCGTCTATGCGTTTCCCTGCACGAACCGCCTTTGGTGGGCCAGCCAGCTAGAACCTCAGCTCTCGGGCGTCAGCAAAGCCAGGCGCAAGAATTGCTGTTGGAGTCATGGATGTTGGAAGCTTATGGCTAACAATGGAGGCACTTTGTGGATTCTATGCAAACTGTCTCGGTGGTCCCTGCTGGAAGCTACCAAGCTCAAGACCAGGTCCTGCCGCAGGCATGGAACCGGCGCACCCTTCTGTGTAGCTGAATCAAATCCTTCTTGCAGAACCCCACCAGAGGAAGCGACAAGGCATGGGACAAGAGCATGGTTTTCTCCGGTCAACGCAAAGACGTTTGTCTCAATATAGCCAGAAAGGACCCGCAAAAGAGTGTAGTTACTTTTTTTGTTTCCCTGTACATTGCACCGAAAAAGGGGTGTCCCCAAAGACCGCCCTTATAATCAAAGGCAGAACAAAAGGAACTTCCGTAGTACTGGAACTATTGAGTTAGTTGTGTGTAAGACTGCATGCACAAGTGCGTGATCTTTTTAACGTTTTCCGTGTGTTTCACTTTTGTGGGTTGCAGAGCGAGAGAGAGAGAGAGAGAGAGAGAGGGAGAGAGAGACAGAGAGAGAGAGAGAGAGATAGAGAGAGAGAGAGAGATGTAGAGAGAAAGAGAAGGAGAAAGAGAAGGCAAAGGAGAAGAGAAGGAGAAAGAGAAGGAAAAGGACAGAGAAAGAGAAAGAGAGACCAGAAACGAGAAAAAGAAAGAAGGAGAGAAAGACGAATAAATTAGATAAAGAGGCAAGAAAGAGAAGGAGAATGAGGAGGAGAAGAAAACAGACACAAAGACAGAAAGAGTGAGAAAGAGAAAGAGAAACAGAAAGAGAGAGAGAAGGACGGCGAGAAAGGGAAAAAGAAGGACGACAAGAAAGAGAAAGCAAAGGAGATAGAAAAGAGAAAGAGAAAGAGACAAACAAGAGAAAGAAGCAAGAGAAAGAAGCATAGAAGGAGAACGAGAGCGAGAAAGAGTAAGAAGAGGAGAAGAACATAAAGGAAAAGAGAACGGCCACAGAAACAAGGAGAAAGACAAAAAGAAAGAAACAGAGACAGGGACAGAAACAAGGTGAAAGAGAAAGACAAAGCTAAAGAAGAGAAAGAGAGAAAGAGAAAGAGAAAGAGACAGACGAAGAGAAAGAGAGAGAGAGAGAGGGAGAGAGACAATGGGAAGCGGGTCTGCCGGCTTGACTGTTGCAGTGCAATTTGTACGCACATACACATGTCATGTCACCATGTTGAGCTGGGTGTAGTTGCACGCATGCGTAGAAACAAGCAAACAAACAAACAACTAAGCAAGCAAGCACACCGCAACAAAGCAAAACAAAACAAGCCAAGCCCAAAAAGGAAGCAAAGAAGCAAGCAAGCAAGCAAGCAAGCAAGCACAAGCAAGCACAAGCAAGCAGGCAAGCAAGCACGCACGCACGCAAGCAAGCAAGCAAGCACGCACGCAAGCAAGCAAGCAAGCAAGCAAGCAAGCAAGCAAGCAAGCAAGAAAACAAGCCAGCAAGAGTAGTCAGTCACGCAAGCAAACACACGAACGTACGTACATACCTAAATGCGAGTATGCCATACCATACCATGCCCCACCATTGAACAACATAGCATCGCATAGCATAGCATAGCAAGGCGTAGCGTAGCATAGCATAGCATTCAGTGCAATACAATATTTTTGCAATATACAATACAATACAATACAATTCAGATACACACGCGCACATGCAGTACGTACGTACATACATGTTTGTATGAATGCACAATACTTGCAGCTTGTTTTGCAGCGTGCAATGGTTGTATGGTGAGCGATGCTTGAACAGGCCAATACGGGGTCACGCCAAGCGATCACATGAATGGGGCTCACTTGTAGTCTCCTTGAACTTGCCACTAAATGAACAAGGGCAGCGTGGTGCCAGATGAGTTGTCAAATGGCTAGCCCAGATGGCAATGGATGCTTCACGAGGACGAAAGCTTTGCCCTCTTAGAGCTGTGCCACAAAACAGACCAGCGGGTCAATTTGGTCAGAGTTTTGCATGTTGTGTGGCAGGGGCGGCACCGTCAATTTTCACCCGGTTTTGTGAACATTTGTTGCGACTCAAGAGGGCAAACTTTTGTTCTGCGTGTGTCTTACAGTTATGGTCGCCTCGGGCCAAGTGCTAAGGCCTCTCCTGGCGCTGCCTGGAGTCCCAGAAAGCCTGGGGTCTTCTCCGTGTATGGCCCAAACCACATTGGGGAATTCGTCAATCTGTTTGCTTTTGACATTGTAATTTGTACGTCCAAACAGAAGCCTCACGGGATACGTTCACGAGGGTTTGCAGAGACCCATCAAGAGCCTTGACGATTAGTGAGGAGCATTTGAGTTAGCTCATTCGCCATGCGCGATTTGGTCCGTCGCAAGACATTTGAAGCTTTGTATGCACTCACTCGCCATAGGCGTGCTAGTGCTTGTGTTTATGTGTGTGTGTGTGTTGTGTGTATGTGCGTCGCGCGTGCACGGGCACCGTTTGTCATATACGCCGCTTGTGTTTGGATTTGTGAAGCTTTAACTGACAATGGTTCAATGTGGACGTGCCAGTAAGTCCGTTATCCTGGCCCCGGACTGGCAACCTACGTTTGCGGTTCCGAAGATCCTGGCAACGGGTTTTCTTGATGATGTGAGCGTTCTCCAGGACGCCATCCCTCGGTATTTGACTGAACTGGACAGGCCCATGGCGCAATGGCAGCACATAGTAGTTCGTTTGCCAGAGGTTGTTATGTTGACCCCTTGTCATTGATGGCACACCCAACAAGAACTGATGAAGACACGATCTCGTTATCCCCGGAGGCTATCCAAGCAATGGGCACTGAAAACTCCAAAGCTACCTGCGAGCGCACGAAGCGCCGCTAGGTTGGTCAGAAGTTCCACATCAAAATATGCAGACCATGAGATTTTTGACACGGTGATGCTAATTTACGCTGAGCCTAGCTTTGGTCAATCAAACTGTCAGAGATTCTGAAGACATATGAAATTGCTGCAGCATGGACGTGCAACTGCATGCAGTTGGATTATACGTGACCCGTTGTCACCCAGCATGTGCCACTGCATAGTCACTTCACTTTGGTCATGCAGCTTGATGTTGGCTTTCTCTATCTAGCAAGCACTGGTAAGTTGCATTATGTGATTTTCAAGATCCTGCAAGAGTCTGGTCAAAAGATATGCCTGATATGCCTAGCACTCGTAGCAGGGTATGGAAAACATGCCAAAGCAAGCTCCTAACATTCCTACAACAATCGTCATGAGTAATACCTACCTGATTCATAGCCCAAGGTGTGGCAAACGTGTCAAAGGAAAAGGTCCTGGTGGCATAGCGCTCGCTTCGCATGAGAGTCTCCTGGGGCCCGAAGCTCGATGAACAGCTGGTTTGCTGCTGCTCCTGGCAAGAAGTTTATCGTTTCTCCGACGTTCTCCAGGCTTGCAGCTTGCCTTGGAAGAAAGGCGTGGGAGGGAGAGGCAAAGTAGAGATCTGGGGGCAAAGCTCTCAGGAACCAGCCAACCAAATTTGAGGGCAAGATGCACAAACACCAAGCTCAAGATTTGTTCAGCAGCAAGACGCAATTCTGTGAGAATGTCCAGTTGGTGTTTCACCCAGTCAGCCAGCAATCCGCCCTGACGAAGTCTTGCACAAGCACCTGCATCCTGCTACATTGGAGCACTTGGACATATTTCGAGGATGGGGATATTTGCAAGACAATGATTCAACTCTTAGAACGACATCTCTCATTGAGCAACCCTTTGACCATGTGCTCTTGCGTTGCATGTGAGCTGCTGTGTCATGCTCAATCTTGCCAAAACTATTGTTGATGGAATCTTCTGTAAGGTGCTCACTACAGCACTCTCCAAGTGTTAAAGGATGACGTTGGCTCGCTACTCCTTCCTGATTCTACCTGCTTTACTGCACCGGCCAGGCCAAAGATGACTGAACCGCCAGGGCGTAGTTGTGGCTTGGTGCGTTCTGGGCTTGCACTGGATTCTTTAGATGCTCAAAGATTCGATGGTTGATGTCTTTGGATCACTTAACATAATACGGGTGTTCCCTCGCCTGTTGCCGCATACTTTAACACATCAACCCAAGGGTAACTTTGTTCATTGCGGATCCCACCCTTGATTCATCTATCGCATTTCCACAGCAAGGCTCGATCAAGCCCCGACTGTCCCAGCCTTCGATTTGCCAGCCGAAACAAAACTCGCGTGTGTTTGTTGAGCGCTGCGCTCCTGTAGAGTGGCCATACCCAGAAGGACAAACCCGCCCTCCGACAAATCAAGCAGCTGTAAGTGCAGACTTCTGCAGTGTGGCTGTTTGCCAACGTTTTGTCAAGATAAGCGGACATTAACATATCAAGTTGGTGATTCCGCTGGTCCAATGCCTCCATGGATCTCTTTGCCTTCTTCTTTCCTCAGCACAAGGCAGCAGCAGGGAGCTAGATGTTGACAGTCAATGCGACAGACAATTGGAGCGAGGTTGCAGAAAGGCGAATGAAAAGCAGCATACTCACAGGACGTTGCGAAGGAACTTCCGTGCTATGGGCACAATTTGAAAGATAATCTCACGCACAGCAAAGATGAACAAGAATGAATACATGCGAGAAAACATGCGTGGGCTTGTGGCGGGGAAATCGAAATCGCGAAAAAGAGTGACTTTCTGCGTGGCTTGGGGTCGCTGAAAGCCACCTCAGTCACGACGCCTGGCACGGTCTCGGAACGTTCTCAGACCCGGGCCCAGTGGCATGGACGCACGCAACCTTGTCGCGACGTCAGCTTTGCGTGATAGGCACAACGCTTCGCAAGCTGAGGTGCAGATTGTGGCGTTTTGTTGGATTGGCAATCAGGTTGCGTGGCCGGCGCAACACTTTGGCAGCCTGAGGTGTAGGCTCCTTGGCAGGCGCAGCACTTTCGGAAGGTCGCGTGCGAATTTTGTGGCAGGCGCGGCGCCTGCGCAAGGTCAAGTCCTGATTGCATGGCAGGCGCAGCAGTTTCGCAAGATCAGGTGAGGGTTTTGTGGCAGGCGCAGCACTTTCGCAAGCACTTTCAGAAGATAGAGAAACTGGCTGATTGGTATATGGATAGATCAGTTCATTGATTGATAGAAGATATGTAGATAGATAAGAAGACAGATAGATAGCTAGACAGCCAGAGAATAAGATTAGATAGGTATACAGGTAGTTTGAAAGGACAGATACACTCCCTGGAACTAAACAGGAAGCTCCGAAGTTTTTCTTGTTTATTTTTTGCGGGTTAGTCGAAATAAACAGGCTTTTGATAAATGCTATCATAGAAGTTTCTTGGGGGGTTTTGGTCGGCGTTCGCATTTCAGAACACGCAGCTGACTTCCGACGATGGTTTGGGCAACGGCTGCCTCAAACCCTCAAAAACCCTACCCCCCCCCCTAACACCCCTTCCAGAGCCCAGAACCCCACCTACTCACTCGTAAACAGCAGTTTTTAGCATTAGCGGGCGGACACACTGTAATTTTAAGCGTGTCGGGGAAATGCCGTTTCACGACCTTTCTCAGGGATATGCGAAACTGCTCCTAACATAATCATAGTTTCCCTATTGACCCCCGAAACACAATAGGGCAAACGACAAGCCTGCACTTCCATGTTAAGCACACGTGTTCTCCTTTACATGGAAGTGCAGGGCCCATTTTCAGGCTCTATGTTAGGACACTTTCGTCGGTCAGAACGTGTGTTTCCACTCACGTTTTTTCGTTTACATGGAAGTGTAGGCTCGAGACCGGCCCCCCGACGAAGAATCTAGGCTTGTTTTGGGAAGGGGCACCTGGCACAGATTCTATGTTAGGAGATGGTCGTACCTTCCCAGTAAAAAAGACAGGCATTTGCCAACAAAAAGACGGTGAAGGGACTTCCATGTTAGAGGGACTTCTGAGAGCACGGACTTCCTGTTTAATTCCAGGTAGATGATCTGTAAAATGGTGGGTTGGAAGGCCAGGCAACGAGCGAGCTAGCAAGGTAGATGGATGGGAGGATCGATAGACAGACAGACAGGTAGGTAGATAGATAGATAGATAGATAGAGGTGGAGAGCTTCAGAGATGGCTGGCTGGACTGATTGAGGGCGAGATAGAGAGATAGCAAGATAGAAGGATGGATAGAGAGATAGAGAAGCAAGCAGGCTTGATGGATAGACAGACAGGTAGCGAAATAGCGTGATAGATAGACCCATAGCTAGCTAGATAGACTGCTAGATAGACTGCCAGATAGACTGCTAGATAGACTGCTAGATAGACTGCTAGATAGACTGCTAGATAGAAAGGCAGAAAGACAGACAGGTAGGTAGTTTGGTAGACAGCTAGATGGAAGAAGAGAGAGAGAGAGAGAGAAAGCAGGAGAAGAGAAAGAGAAAGATGAAAATAAAGAGGAGAGAAAGCGAAAGAGAAAAAGAAGAAAGGGCTGACCAATACACGGCAAAAAGAAACAACAAGCGCCCAGGAAAAAAACACTTGCAGATAGAGTTGTTGTTTTCGTCCGGCTTAGTCGTAGGCCACAAAGATGTTTTTGTAGGCCACAAAGATGTTTTTGTAGTCGACGAGGATCTTCCCTGTACAGGGGGAGAGGCCAAGAGCCAGAAGGGCGACAGGGCCATGCCACGACGGGGCCACGGCCCGATGGCCAACGGAGCCACGACACAGGACAAACAACGGAAACCACACGGGCCACGACGGCTCCCACGAACCTACACGAGCGAAAACACCATAGACACGGTTAGGATGTGTTTTTGGTTGCGAACATACCTAAGGGAAAAAATCAGTGATTTGGGTTTTGAGATTCGGTGCAATATTGCTTGTTTTTGTCGGGTCTTTCGTGGCCCCTCGAAAAAGAAGTAACAAAAAACGAAAAGGAAAGAAAGAGCAGGACAAGAGACCGAGAGAGAGGGAGAGAGAGAGAGAGAGAGAGAGAAAAAAAAACACAGAAAGAGACACAGAAAGAAGCAGAGAAAGAGGAAAATAAAGAGAAGGGAAAGCAAAAGAGAAAAGGAAGGGAAAGAGAAGGTGAAAGAAAAAGAGAAAGAGAAAGCTAAAGAGAAAGAGAGCGAGAAGAGAAAGAGACATAGAAAGAGCAAGGAGCAAGGAGCAAAGCAAAGAGCAACAAGCAAGAAAATGAGAGAAAGAGAAAGAGAGAAGAAGAGACAGAGAGAGCTATAGGGCTTTTATTTTTGAAACTTCCGCCAACCGGCTTCGCCGCCTGTTCGTACAAGGGTTGTTCAGGGTTTCTTGAGGGGTGGCAGGAATCGTGGTCCAATATGGTTGCATCGGTTTCTGTCAGGGCTTTGTTGCACGCTTCTACAGACTTCTGATAAACCATTTCCGGAAGCGTCACCCACCTACGGATCGGAGTATGCTCGCTTTGAATGAGCTTTTGTGGCCTCTCAGCATGAGCATTCTTGCCCTACGCTGAGCTCTCAGGCGACGAGCGGCGGCAGGCGCTACAGAGCCTAGCAGGTGGGGTGGTAGCAGAAGACGCACGCCATTGGTCAACATTGTTTTGACCACGGGCTTGGCTTTCTACATAGCAATACAAGATCAAGTGGTTGTGAGGATGGTGCAAGTGGTTGGGGGATAGAGCAAACATGCCTAGAAGAATCTATCAGAAACAAGGTCAACCAAGACAACACGGATTCCGCACCTTGGCATCAAGGGAATCAATGGTGGAACATGTCCAGCGAAAGCCTGAAGGCTGTAGGTAGCTTAGTTGTTGGGCTCTCTTGTTTGATCAATCGTTTGCCCGCAACATTCGAACTTGTGCGATTGGACAATTACCAGACTTACGCTCAGTTTTGAACAGCGGGGCTGACTAATCCAGGCGCACGTTTGGTTGCGATCTCCAAGCAGAAGCTGGCTTGTATTATTATTTTTGCGCAAGTTATTCCCAGCTGGTTAGCAGCCACGTGCAAATGTAATTCCATGCTTTTCTTGCACACTCTACTTTGGAGCAATGCTGCTGGTGGACATCTGGCACTGATGGACGTGTACACAACATACTGCACAGAGGAGGGGACGCGGCACTCAGACTCATGGCTAAGAGTCTAAGAGTGGCATTCTACTTTTGTCTCGTTTGCTGAGAGTGAGTTGTGGAGAAAGGGGCCTTTAACAAATTGTACGCTCGTTCCATTCTTTTTTTGGAGGCAGTGAACATTGTTGTTGCTTCCGCTAATGGTGTCTAGATGTGACCCAGGCATGATAGGTGTGTCTTTGCCTTGGCAAGTGCGGATGGCTCCATTGTCGGAGAAGTGAGCCTTTCGGCCACTTCCTCTTCAGGTTTGTTCTTCCAGGCAGTGGACAAGCAATCTCAAGGGGGAGTGGTTGTCCCAAACCATCTTGTCCGCTTGCATGAGGCCGTATAGACATTGGTTGTGGGGTTCGAATGTGTTCATCGTGGCTCGGTGATGAATGGGATTTTCTTACAGGAGGCATGCACAGTTTTATTCCAGCAAGATGTGCGGCCCTTGCGCAAGTGGAACCTTGACCATGCACATATTTTGGTAAAGCATGTTTCGTGCAGGGATTTGAATGGAGCTTGATCGAGTGCCGGCCAGGCTTGTTCCTCCACCCGGAGGCATTCGTGCCGCAGGGCATTGAGTTGCTGCCCCTCTACGGCTTCCAACCGAGGGCGCGGGGGAGATGAGTTTTGCAACGGTCTTGAAGCATCCATCTTTAAAACTCCTGACGCACTTTGCATGTTCTTGTACATGTTCCTGACTTGAGGTTCAGCAAACCACGGGGAAAAGCACCATTGCCAGACAATTATCATTTTTGGGGTCCATTTCAGGCTGGCGTGGCATGTCTTATTTTGGGGAGCGGGCATCTACAGTTCGAGGAGGAGCTGGTTATTGACAGAGACAGAAAGGCAACAAAAAGCACATGGCGGTCTTCGACTAGGACAATGCATGGCAGAATCGCCGCCCAGCAACTCCCCAAAACTCCAAAGTTAGGGCTTCCAGGCAGGTGCGTAGTTGGCAAACATGGCCAGCAACTCAGGTTTTGACTGGAGGGCAGCTGCGAGTTCCCCTGGAATGGTTTATCAATCTACCCCGCCTATGAGAAAAGTCTGACTGCTTTCTCCGGACACATGGCAAGATAAGTGAAGTGGAAGTTGATCGGACCATTGCACTGAATTGGTGCTCCCTTTTGGGGGAGGTACCAGCAAACACTTCCCGGTGGTTTTTGATGGATGCAGGTAGACTTCTGAACTTGCTTTCTGTTTGGCACATCATGATCATGCTCGTCTGCGATGTCTTGGATCACATGGACCTCAAAACACAAGGACATCGATTTGCTTTGGGTTCGATTTTGCTTCAGATGCACCCATCCAGACGCTCGCGCAGGTGGCCGAGTTCGAGCCCTTCGCCCTCAAGCGGCCGAATGGTACGCCTCCCCGGCCAAGTGGGCCCGGTGTGCCAGGACTTCAGGCCATGGAGTTTAGCCAATCGGGACATAGCCTTTCGGTCTACAGCTAGCAAAATGGTAAACTTGAGACCTGTTTGTGATTTCCAACTCAGGTGCTATCCAACATGTTGGATTTGTTTGCGAGGGTTTGACATCGATCCTCTCTGAACAAATGAAGACCACCAGGGGGACGTAGCTGAACTACCCCTTTCTCCCCCGAACCATATTTTTTGCTAGTGGTCAGCGGCTATGAGTTGCAACTATGACGCAAATTGCGCGGAGGGATGCGTTGACTGTGGCTCCCAAGTTCAAAAATATTAGTCTGTATATTGCCTCGGGAATGTGTGTGGTACCCTTTTTCAATGTGTGTTGGTCCCAAGACATGTTGTCCTCAACTCATACAGATGCAGGAGACGGTTGCCCTAGATTTCGACTGAGCTTCCTAGCGCTCATGTAGTGTTTTGTCTCGTTGCTGCCAACTTGCACAATCCGCCGCCATTTCAGGGCGCACAGCCAGGGCAGTATCAGCGCAGGAGCATGGAACATCCAGCAAGGCTCAAGTCAAACCAGCGCGACCATCGCCATTTGTTTCGCATCTTTTTGCCTTGTGCCTTGGGCCGAAGAGCCTACAGGGGACGCACCAGGCCACCGCGTGGGGCGGTTTGCAGATTTCGAGCGGTCAGCTTAAGCGTCCAGGACCGGGCGTGACATGCGTCTTCTGAAGTACCAGCTTCCTATCCATGAATCTAAGAATTGTAGCTTGCTTGTTGGTTGTTTGTTTGTCTGTCTGACTGTCTGTCTTTGCGTCTTTCCGTCTTTGTGTCTTTCTGTCTGTTTGTTGGCTTGTTTGCTCGTGCTTTTTTCCCAATGACCAGCCTATAATTGCCAATAATGTCATTTCTGAGACTCATTGCCTTGAAAGAACCCTAGGCGTCCATGGGCTTGCCGGAGGCGACTGTAACAGTGCTTCGCTGCCCACTGTTTGCGACTGTTCTACCTGTTTGTTCCTTTTGATTCACTTCTGGCCCTGCACGTATTGGATCCCTGCGCCGTGGTCAAAACCTTTACTTTTGGTTGTAAGGATGGGAGTTTAGACAAGCATGACAAGAATTTCTATTAAGGGAGTGATGACCATAGCCCGTAAAAGGAGGTGACCTTGGTACATATCATATGTTCGCCACATTTAGCTCACGCGAATCATCAGCGAATGTTACCCGCAACAAGGCTTGGTTGGTTGGCCCGGCCATCCACTCAAACTCAAATTGGCATCTTCAGCCATAAGGTGGTAACTTCCTGATTTATGTTTGACTTCAAAGCTGAGTCAACTGAAGCCGCATTTGGATTCCTGAAATATGAAGGGTTTGTGTCTTGTTTAAAGCATCGCTTTGCAGTCCTGTGTTGGTCAATGCAAATCATGCTGTTTATTTTGGCTGGCAGGGTGCGCGGTGCATGCTTGTTCGCGGATCCAAGTGTGGAAACCCAAGCCCAAAGTGTTGATCATGCTTTGCTGTGAAGTGTTGAAAGGCACATGAACGACGTGAACATATCGCTCATGGCAGGGCCATGGGACGCAGTGCAAGCCGAAGCCGCAGCCGTGGTGCGGGGAGCGGCGGTGTCAAGCGCCGCTTGCCTTTCCTCCGAGTGGGCTGTGGGATGAAATGCCTTTACAGAACGCGAGTTTTAGCAGCCAAGCTTGTATTGAGGAATGGCTCTGCTTGGCTTTGATGGAGTCAACAAAGAGCCCCTTCATATGTAATGCCAAGAAGTCCGTTGAGAGGAATTTATTTGCAGGGGAGAAGTTACAAATGGATGCTTATGGGAATTGAAGTTGCAATGTAAAGCCATGTTAGTTGCGAAGTGGACTCTTGCTGCTGCTTCTTTGCTACAAGGCAACGAATTTGAACTTCTTGCAACCAGTACGCGTGTGTATCTGTTTGCGTTTGTAGGCGCATTTGTTTCGATGTGGAATATTCAGTGTATTTTCAAGCCTTCGGGTAGTTGCAGATACGTAGGGTGAACACTTCGCACAATCGTGCATGTTGCTGTCTAGCATCATTGCATGTCCTGTGAAAAGGTGTTAGAGTCGTGGATGAAAGGACATGGGTGTGTCTTTTTTTGGGGTACCGCTTTGTGTGGTTTGAAGGAACGCCAAAAGGACAATCACCATTTTGGGGGTCCCCTACAAAAGAGCACTTCCAAATGGGAGTTCATTTGCACATTCATGCCTAGTTGAGAGTGTAGATTTTCTTACAGACCCCGGCTTGCAAGCTGCTCACATGCCCAGGACATGCAGGCATCTCAACTTCCATTCAGCAGAGGGTTGTTGCAGACGATAGCCCCGCTCGCGAGACCGATCGGGTCCATGCAACACTTCAGAACTCTTGCCATGCAAACATGAAGTTAGCTTGTGAAACTTATTCTTATATGTTCCTGCTGTTTGCCTATGGAGTGGTTTGATTTTGGCAAATGGCCACTCTGTGATTCTGAGGCATGCTCATGCTATGTATTCTTTACCATTTCCCGATGCAAGGTGAGAAGGGCACCATCAACACTTGGAACACCGAGAGGCAGTTCGGCTTCGTCTCCTGCGACAGTGGCCGCAGCCTGGTTTCAAATATGGCTTTCTCGTGATAGGTTTGACAGGTGGACTGGCTTCGCTACAGTTCGATTCGATCATGCTCATGTCCGCTCCCTTTTACAGCTCCGGGGCGCGCTTGAAATTACCAGGTTCAAAAAGATAAGAGGGGCCAATCAGGTGCCATGTCAGTGAGAGAGAAATGGCAAGTTATTGCAGCCCTCAGACGGACCTTCCGGGACTTGTGCCATGTTTTGAGTTGTTGTCATTTGTTGTATCGAAATGAGTCAGCCACAGGAAATGGAAATGCATCCATAACCTTGTTGCTGTATTGGGAAATTTCCGTTCATGGATACTGATGGATCAACTTAATCAACTATTGTTCATATCCAAAATGGGTTCTTGACTTGCAACTTGCATCTTGATCTGACAATTGAGCCTTTGAAGGCTTGTCTCAGCACCTGGGTTTGACCCAGCATTTTTCTGAATGCCCAGCGTACATCAACTGAAGCATCAGGCGCTTCAAACACAGCAAGCGTGCGGAGCAGGTGAAACAAGCTGTTGGGCAACGTTTCTCTCCCAGCTCGACAGCTTTTGAACCGTCTTTCATGCCCCAGGTCAGGATCTCTTCACGCACGCGGAGTACATCTCGGACACCAACGCCAGGTATGACGCCAAGACGCGGGGCTTGCGCCGTGGTGACAGGCAGGGTGTGCTGGGTGCAAGTGTGGTCTGAGTATGACTTGGTGTTGGGGGAATGCTAGGCAGCCCCACCTCTCAGCGTGCAGCAGTGCGGTTGCTGGCTTACCGAGATTGGATATTACCCGAGTTGTGGCTACCAGGGTTGAATAGCACCCGCCATTGGAGAATGAGTTGCTTACTCCCGGCTTTGGCAACCTTAGAGGCATCTCTAAGCCTTGGTGGTTTGAACTATGAGGTTTGCATCGGATGCCTGCAAACGTGACACTTGGATACGTGGTAGACAGTTATCAGAGTCATTGTTGGACCGAGAAGAGCTCGCCTTCGGGTGGGGTGTTTGCCTCTAGGACTCTAGGTGTTAAGGACGTTGCGATTGCAGTCCCTTCTCCTGAGTCCACACTTAAGGAGCGCCAAACTGCACAACTAAACTGGTGGCACATGACAGGATAGCAGTTATCCGAAATGTTTATTCCACCACCGTCACGAATTTGGAAGAGTCCGAGCTGGTCTGTGAGGTTGGCTCAATCAAAGTCTTGAATTGTTTGGGTGCCTTCTAGAAAGCAAGTGGGTTTAAGCGGATATCGAATCTGCATGGAGCGCATTGGTGCCAAGGACCTGGACCAGCGTGTCATATTCAATAGCATCATCAGCATTCTCGCATGCGGCCGCATGTGGCCACATGTGCTTGTTGAAGTTGTGATGGATTCATCGACCCATTTCATTCAGAGGCACTGCTGATGAAGGAAGTTCTTAGTCACTCACAGAACAGTCTCTGAAAGGACAGAATCAGCAGCGCAAAATGGCACGGCATGTAACATCAGCCGCAGGATCGCCTTTGATGTGGAGGAGCCACAGGGCAACAAGAAGAGCATGCAGGCCACTGGTCTGGACAGGGGCACATGTTTGGATACGCATTCATTGGATTTAATATTGGTTTGAATTGGCCGGGGACAAAGGTGTCAAGCTTGGGGGTTTCTTCACTTGAGTTGAGGCGCACAAGCTTCTGCTGTTTTGGGGCAGTCACCGGACCATCTTCCCACAAGCCATTTGCAGCTCTTTTTGCCTCCCAAGGTTCAGGTTTGTTTTTTCTTCCTGACCTTGTCTGGTACTGGTGACTATGCCAACAGGCTTTGGCTGCTAGCTAGTCAGGGAACATTGTAGCTACTATGCCGGAAACCACCTTGAAGGGGTAGTTGGAGCAGATCATTTCAATGCTTGCGTGGGAGCTCTTTGTTTTGGCAAGAACAAGCATGAATGTTTGCTTTGCATGAAGCGGACAAAGTTTGCGGAACCAAACGGCTCTGCATCTCTTGGAGTCGAAGCTTGCTTCAGAAGCCTCAGCGGCCTCGCCCAGGCGGTGAATGTGGAAGTCTTGGACCTCGCCACAGACCGAGCTCTCGTCCTGCTTGAAAGCCAACGGTCAAGCGCGAGCGTGTAGTTTCAGCGGGGAAATCGCAAGCCCAACGATCTTCGATGGAGCCTGGGGTGAAAGGTATCCGCTATAGATTTGGCATATGCGAAAGAACAATGCTGCAATCCAACTGGTGCTGGGATGAGCCAATAAACGTGGATTGTTATGGTGATAAACACAATATAATATAATTGTTTACTTCCAAATGCACGTTCGAGGTGACCCATGATATGCAAGAGTGTAAGAGAAGCCGACTTTTTTTGGTTGGAAGTCGTCCTTCGCACTGCACCCATCACGTCTTTGTTAGAAAGGGATAGGAATCATGATAGGAACTTTATGAAGACTGATCAACTCGAGGCATTTCCTTTCCGAAGCACCTGTTGCGTGTTGACAAACCTTCGGATATTCATGGGAAATTGCGCTTCCTTCGGGTGAAATTCAAAGGTAAGCAGCATGCAACTCTGCTGTACCTGGGAAGAGTTTGCATGCTGCACATCCAAAGCATCCTCGGCTCATGAGCTTAGCCCCGCAAGCCCCGCCACTGCCTCATGTTGACCATTTCCGTAGGAAGTGATAGATCTCTATAATGTATTAAACGAAACGAGGAGGCACACTCTCTCTTTTGGTGTTGTATTTTCCTACCCAAAGCAACGCGGAGTCACAAGCCACCACCATCAAAGGTGGTGGGCCTTAGCTCGACAGACTCCCGGGGAATCATCTGATTCAGTGCTGCTCCACATGCCGTTTGTGCTGGAACATGGTTTGCCCTTTGTTGTATAAACCCAATCTTTCAAACCTTCTCTTTGCATCCAAACTTTACACATCACCTCGACAGCAGATGATCATAAAACATCGCGGACGCTCGGAAGGCCGCGTTGCGGACTCACAGTCACTACCGGCTTGGCCATAAGAGAAAGGCTGATCATGGCTTTGTTGTTCCAGGTACTGGTTTGTTTGAGAAACATATACGAGTTGGTAAGCGCTCCACGTGGCATTCAGTAAATTTGAAAAGCATGACCACTCAATTCACTGCTACAAGGGCTCCAGCCGTCTGGTTGCAAAGACATTGCTGCGGCTTTGACCTTGTCTTTCAGGGTTAGTGCTGAATCAAGAGAGTGACCTGGCAAAGGATCCCCTGCTGTGAGTAAAAGTTCATGCGTTTTCGTGATAGCTTCGTGAACTTATCTCCGATACCTGTTTCATTCCATCAAGACAGAATTCATTTGGACAGGCGTTCCGAGAGGATCAAGCAAAAGCTTGTGCGTCGAAGTGTTAGTTTACAAAAAAAATGGGCTGATGCCGTGCTGACAATCATATATAGTGGGGCTGGTTTTTACACAAGGGCTCACGGACAATTCATATTCAGCTTCCATGTCACCCTGACAGTTGAGATTGGGGGTGGCCTATCCAAGCCCCAAGCTTCGGTCGTCCGAGTTTTTTTCGGTAATTCAAGTTAGCCGAGGCATGTCCATCCTTGGTACCAGACGGCTATATCATCGGAACTCTCGGGAATCTCGCTGTCACGCATTCTTGGTGACACCTTCCAACCAAGGTGAAGCGTTCTCGCAGCCCCAGCCGCCGCCGCAGCCGCAGCCGCGGCCGTGGCGGAGGAGGAGGCGGAGGAGGGGGAGGAGGAGGAGGCGGAGGCGGACGTGGACGCTCGAGGCAGGATCGGAGGGATGTATTGAGGCCACAATGTGGCTTGTATGGGAAGTTGTTGTTCTTTTTGGTCTGATTTCACGCAGGTGATTTCAGGAAGAGAAAAGCCACCCCCCCCAAATGAAGAAGCGCCAACGCTGCGCAGGCAAGCAGCGTGAAGGGAAACAAGCCTTATTGAGCCTTGTTAAGCCTTATGAAGCCTTATTAAGCCTTTCATAAGCCTTATTTGCCGGTTTTCGACTGTGGCTTAATAAGACTTTATAAGGCTTAAGGAGGCCCAAAATAAGCCCTGTCATTTCGGCAGCCTAAAGGCCATGGTCACACCCCAAAACGGATGCGTGGTTAAGCTTTGTTATCTATTTATTTATTTATTTATTTATTATTATTATTATTTTTTTTGGGGGGTGGCTTCAAAGTTGCGCCATTTACACAATTCTCAGCCCCCCCCCCCCCCCAAACACACACACACACACACACACACTTCACAGGGCCCGAAAAGAAACCCTGAAGCCTGTGCGGCGCGTCCCCGGAACACGTCAGTCGAGAAGGAGCGTCTAGCCCTTAGTTTGCTTGGGGGGTAGCTTTGGGGGGGGTACCTTATCACTTCCTGATGATTTGGTTACATGTGAAGTTGGACACGGAATATGTGACATCCAGAGCCCAGAGTCCGTAGGTCGCGCAAGAATACGCGGCCCACCGAGATGCGCGCTCGGGGGCCCAGCTCTTGCGGCAGGCAGGGACTTTGGCTCCTTTTGAGCCTCTGGTAAAACCGGGCAGCAATCAAATGGTTGCATGGCGTAGGATGGCCATTTGCCCTTCGATGAGGACTTCTTGGTGACCCAGATGTGTATGGTTGGGCAACTGCGTCCATCCCCATAGATGTTTGAGCACGCAGCTAGGGTGGATCTCAACATTCAGACAACTCATCATATTCCCTGATGCCTGTGAGGAGTGTCGTCGTTGCATTGTTCGCATTTGACAAGTTTGGTGCGATGTTGCAAGCTGTTGCAAGCCCGAGCATCCAATCATCCTTGTGTCCTTTTGGGAATTCCGTAAGACGCCAAACAGATTCATGGGATTTGACATATGGGAAATTCAGCATATTAAACGAGTTATTCAAGGACCCAGGCATGTGGCATTTTCTTAGGCGCCCATCGTACGACTTGTCGAATCAGGTGGAAGGTTGTGGCCAGGTGTAATCCTCTTTGCGGTTCTTTCTTATTGTAAAGTCTTAAAAATGAGCTCGAGTGGGGCAAATGAAAAGTGAATCTATCTGATCAAGAGTCTGACAAGCAACCACATTCACGCAGCGCGCTGCGTGCCGGGCACTAGCACTTTGGTCTGCTTGGCAGAAATGGCGGGCTGACAAGAAAAGTCAAATGCATCCAGTGGAGTTCATGTTGACTACATCATAATAGTTGATGAGCGGAAACGGACTCAAGGGATCCTGCTTCCTTGATGACCCATGTTCATGATGACTGGAAACCACTGGGTTCAGCAGCTGAACGTTGATGTTGATACGCGGCAACCAACATTGCCGAGCTACCTCTGATTTGCAGGTGTTGATGTTTCGGAAAGGCAATGCTTAGCGGCTTTGCGGCTCAGCAAGACCGAACGTGCCGATGCTGAGGCTGGGGACTGGGAGTGCCCCAAATGTGGCGACTACCAATTCGCCAGGAGCTTCTGCGCGGTGGATGCCAGATACCATGCACAGCAGGTGACCGTTGTTTCCATCAGCTTCAATATGGGAACTTGAAGTTTATTTCGTAGTAAAACACGCCGTTGTATGCAATGCGTGGCATGACACCTTGCCGCCGTTTGGCCCATCAAGGCCCTTTGAGCTATTTCCCTTTTAGCCTGAGCCGGACATCGCTCAGCCTCGTGAACAGGCGCGATGGCCACACTTTGAGCTTTGAGGTGACACAGAAGTGGCTTTGAAAAGTTGGCACCGGAGCCACCTTTTGGGGGCCTGGCGCCGCGCGCTGGTTGACGCCGACCTGGCACGCCATGTGCTCAGGTTTGGACGATGAGATGAACCTCGAGTTCGACCAACCTGGTGAAGGAATCGATCCAGGGCCCCATTGACCGCGAGGCTCGACCTGAAGAACAGCGGTCACCTCCATGCTCAGAGCATGGAGGTGTTGAAGCACAATTCCCCGGAGTGCCGATGCAGCCGGGATGGATGGTTTACCGCGATGACAACGTCGCCAAGCGCCTGACAGAGACGGGCGCGTGGGGATTGCCTGACGTCACGAAGGAAGAGTCAAAAGGGCCATCATGATGGCAGTGAGCCCGCGCCGCAGACCCTTGAGTTGACCCAGGCCCAACAACACAACAACCTCCACCTCCACCTCGGCGCCCGCAACATCCACCAAGGCTTCAGCCCCGTCATAAAGGAGCTCGTGGTAGAGGAGCTCCGTGCGCGAGTGGACTTTGCCTACTACCAACGATGCTTTGCTGACTACCATGAAGCGGCTCCTTGCGGAGAAGGAGGAGGCCAGCAACTGGAAACTCTGCGGTTGGCCCAACTCGAATCGCCTAAGGCGAGTACTTGACGAAGTGACCGCAAAGTGGTTGAAGGTCTGCGGTCGTTGCCTCCTTTCCATGACTTGACCGCGGGGCATAGCTCAGGCCGTGGTAGAGAGCCCTTGCTCATTGCCTGCCTGGGCACGTCTACTTTCGCCGAAGACGGTGGAGGCAATGGTTGCAAGCGCGAAGACTGGTTTCTTGGCCCGTGCTCCACCCAGGTTGGAGCTCGTGCGCTCATCTTCAATGAGAATGCCCAAGAAATTCGTGGCGGGCCCATGAAGATGGTCCAATTGAAACTTCTTCCCGGAGATCTTCTTTTCGCACTTCCGCCACCCTAAGAAAGCGCCCCGCCGCCAATGATCCTGCATCGAGCGACACGGTCGGGTATTGGACCCAAGGAAGGGGGCAGAGCTGCGCGCACGAGCGAGATGGAGGCGCCGAGCTTGTGGACGCAGGCCTGGTGACGGGGCTGAAGCAGCATCGCCTCAACTAGCGCCCAAACTTCGAAGACTGCTGAGTCCAACAATCGAGGCCGGAGGGCCTCCGTGTGGCGGTGATATTGATCCCCACGGATTCCATGCGCAGGATCAGCTCCATTGTCAATGGAGATGCGCTCCAGTTCCTGCTCGTTGTGCAGGAGGTCGAACTTCTTGCAGTGCTTGGCGTAAGACAATGAACTCGTTGGGCTTGGGACTGAAATGTGGCAGCCAGATTGGCACCATCGTCGGACAAGCGCCGATGCGAAGCGCAGACCAACCCCTTTCAGCATGCTGGGCTGGCGTTCCGTGCGCTCACCGCGAGTGGCCGCTGAGGCGTCGGCCGCAACTATCTCAGTGAGTTGGCATAAACTAAAATGTGCAAGCGTGCCAGGCAGGCAACGGCATGAACTCACTGCACGCGGTGGGCGCAAAGAGCTTCTTCGACGCCATCATGCAGGACAACCCGTCCTTGAAATACAACGATGCTGGTCAGCATCCAGCCATCCCAGAAACTGTCATCATCAACAAGGAACTTGGTGGGTGCCAACCAGGTACCAGTTCAGCGACGGCCTCACGACGACAACCTCCGGATCGCCTTCGGCGCGTGTTCTCCGACCCCGTGGCCAACAAGGCCTTCAACGAGAAGATCTCGGCAGACGGGCAAGGTGCCAAAGAACAAAGAGGTGTGAACAGCGGCAACGCATGGCATGACACCTTGCCGCCGTTTGGCCCATCAAGGCGCCCTTTCACCTCTTTCCCTTTTAGCCTGAGCCGGACATCGCTGAACCTGGTGCAAAGGCGTGATGACCGCACTTTGAGGTGCGCGTTCCTTCGAACCTTCCACCCATCTGCAACTTTGAAAACCATTCAGACTGGTCCATGCAACGCTGTACACACACATGTGCACAACAACAAAAGCTCTTGTAAAAACACCTGGCCCGAGAGGACGAATCCAATGACATAGCATCGCACCGCGCGCTTGCCAACTCTTTGGCAATGGGCCATGTCTCTTCACCTCAAATCATAGCTTCCCAGTAAGGTTCTTCCGTGGCTGGAGGCAGCGTCCTTGTCATATGATTTATGCCAAATATGATGTCATTCCTACCTCTTGTCAAAGCCACTTCTGTGGCCGCAAGACAAGGAGAGGAAATGCCGAACCCGGACAAACACGCACATCCCCCAATGGCAAAGCAATGCAAAAAAGGCAACGCAACAGAAGGGATTAACATTGTTTGCTTCAGTTAGTTTGCCCCGCGGCACAGCTCAAAAGGGTTTGGTCGCCCAGGCATGGACTCTTAGCAAGCGAACGGCATGACTTGTTGTTTGGAGAATGGCAGAAAATACAGTGTTTGTAAAATGCACCCATTCGCTGGCCAAATGCAAGTTGGCCTGTCCTGGCTGTTGCTTCCACATGTTTGCCTCTTACCCTTGAGACTGACAAAAGAGATCTTGAGACATCCCAATCCAGTCTTGTAGCTAGATACGCCGTGCTGCCGATTCCGTTTCACTGCACTTTGATTCGTTTCTGATTGCCCAGGAGCATCGGACAGAGGTATGTCGTGGGAGAACAGCATGGCTGAAACCAGCAAGTTGTACACTCGCATGGGCTGCAGCCAGGAATGCCGAGTGTCGGAAGTGCGGCGCCAAGCCTCGCTCCATCCGCGATGACTCCCGGCCCCGCCGCAAGGACTCCCGCAGGCCAGGAGTAGTTTGGAGAGTTGAATTCGCCGCAGCCTTGCCAGGTTTTGCAAGCGCTTGGAGATATGGGACTCCAAGTTCGTTCATTCAACCACGCTGGCGGTGTTTTTTGGCAATAGTTTTGACTTGAAGTGGTGAAAAGGGCCACGTGTTGCGTGTCGCAGTGGCTAAATCTGGGGAATGCCCAAATCAGTGGCTGAGTAACTTGGAAGTGGTGGCAAGGCAGGTGGCAGTAACCCATCTGAATCCAGGGTGTGGCAACTTATGAACATGGATAGTTACGCCCATGGAAGTGCTGCGGAGCTGATTGTCAGGCGCAGCCCACCCCCACGCCGCCGCAGCGACAGCCGCCGTCGCAGGAGCGTGGCATACATTGTTGTTCGCAAAAGTCGTGTTGGTTCGCTTATTGCATTCGATCCATCGTTCTGTTTTCAATCACTGTACATCTTTCCAAGGGGAGGTTAAGACGATACAGAGGCATGAGCTGCGCCGGAAATATTCGGGTGCGCACAAGGCATGACATCGAAAGAAAACAGAACAGAGTTGCATTGGATTTGATGCATGGTATGTATCGATTGGTGGGATTTGGTGCTTGGTATGGCCCGGATTGTGATGTTATAATTTGACCAAGACTAGCGCTTCTCCTAGAATCACCGCACCCCGTGGCCCATGGCTTGGGCCTGTGACCGCTAGCCCCGTGTTTGAATCATCCGTACCGACAAGGCAACAACCTTGACTGGCCACTCGTTGGGTCTTGGGTGCTTCTTGGGTGCTTCTCACCTTCTCTCATGCAATGAGAAGCTGCCAATCAGAGCTTCGCCTCCCAGAGCTCAAGTTTTGGGGAGTGCATGGCCAAGCAGCTCGGGAATTGAATCGTCAGATATCTTGAGAGGGCTCTCTAGATTGCGCTTGCACTACATGCAGCCCCAACCGACGGAAGAACAGAGCACATTTCCCGTAGGTGGTGAATGGCACATTCTGATGTTCTGAAGTCCCAAGTAACAATCGTAGCCCGCAGGGACGAGCCGTCAATCAGGCAATCAGCAAGACTCAGACTCAAGTTGGTTTGGATGAGGACTGCCAATTTCGATAGGTGCAAAGCCACCCCTCCACGACATCAGCCAAGGAGATCAGAACCAAACCCAGCTGCATAGCAATTTTTGCGAACTAAGCAAATGTGGCATCGTCAATCAAAGTTAATGAAACAATTCAACTACTCAACGCAATTCTCGAAAAGCCAATGAGGAGAGGCATCCGTCCCAGTCCAAGCAAGCCGACGGCTTTCCAAGCAGATCTTGACAGCTTTCTGCACAGGAGCAGCAGCGCTGGCAGCCGCAGGTAGAGCAGGCCAGATCCGCTGCTCGCCTGAGACAAAGCCATGTGATATATGCAGCGAAATCCTTATTTGGTGCTTATTTGATGCAAATTCGAGGCTTCAGGCAGTTGCTCAGGCGTCTGAAGAACACAAGTGTTTTTGAAAGTCTTCCCCCTGGCATTATCATCTGCGCAATTTGTAACGAGCCCAGCCGAGCTCACTGCATGTTTTTTGAGTGATTTAGTAGAATCAGCGAGGTCAGCCACGAGGTGATTTATGCAGAAATAACGAGGGTGCCCTGTATTTGGCGGGTGTTTCCCTTTAATTTAACGGAAGCCAAAAATCAACCTTTCGGGCTCGAACAGTTGTTTTTGGTTGGTCAGCATGGCTTATCTTTTCCCACCTGTAAGCACAGAAACAACTCTTCGGGGTCTGACAAGTTGTTGGAAGGGTACGGATGTTGCCCACGGCCGTCCCTTTTCAGCACAACCGAACTTTTCGGCCCGGAAAGTTGTCTGGGTTGGTCACCACCAAATCAAGGATCCTCTCAGAACCAAACAAAGCTTTGTGCTGATCCAAGCCAAAGAGGGCCATGATAGGCCTTGACAAGGGAGGTTTCTTTTGCCTTCTCTAGTTGATAGGACTACAGCAAAAGTTGATACTTTTATACAACTTTTATTGCTTGATTTCCAATCAGACCACCAAGTCCTAACCTTCTGGGGAGCATGGCCGGGGGCTTGCAAGTGTGATTTGCCAGGTTCGCTGAGGTGCAGAACGAGAGTCCGATGGGCTGCCAGATATGGATCTGCCAAGAGAGTCGGAGAGACGACGCAACACGAGCGACCGTTGTGCAATGTATCAAGCGAATGATGAGCAATAGGGCGAGCACATCAAGCATTGAGTCTGTAGCATAAAGGCAACGTGTCATGAAGGTTTTTCAATGCACTAGCGACAAGATGTGGCAGGGCAGCCTGTCACAATGTTACGAGTGTTTGGCAATCCGTGGGTAGGGAACAACGGCTTGGTACAGGTGGCTTTCGTATCCGACGTGTTCCAGCCGCTCAAGGTTGCCAAAGGTTCCTGCTTTTTCCCTCCGAAGTTGCCAACATCTGCAGTGTGTCATTTTCGTCTTCTGCGTTCTTGATGGTTGGACGATGCCGCGTTTGATGACTGGTTTCCGTTAGTTTAAAAGAGACAACATGCAGGATTTGGAAGGTATTCTTTCCTCATGACGTGAACCGCGCGGAATAGCTTGAATGTGATCATTCTTGGACAATTCGTTCCGAATGAATGTAGCATCTCTTAAGGTTCGAATCTATCAACTTAACAATGTTGACGTAGGTGGGGGACACATCTTGCGGACGTAAGGTCAATTTGTGTCGGAATCGCTCGTGCTTGGCAGTGTGAGGAGCCATCATCCTTGGGATATCAAATGGTCAATCAGAATCAAAGGTAAGAGCCCACTGCGAGCACTTCCTTGTTCTTTGGGAATAGCATTCAGGTCTTTGCGCACCAGGCTAGAATACCAAAATGGATCAGGCAGACCATCCGTTGCGGCGGGCGGAACTGTTGCCGGCTCAGGGAGCAGCAGATGCTATGGCGCATTTGGGCATCTTGCAGCGGAAGTTTCCTAGGGCTAGGCAACTTTTCTGGGTTTAGAGAGCTACTTTGTTTGGAGGGGTGTCTTGCTTGAAGACATGTAGACCTGTACAATAGCAGCAACGCATTCAGTTGTTCGAGTCCTTTGGGACGGCAGGCTGTTTGAAAGAAGTGCTTGTACTGTATTGCCCTGACCTCGCAGAAGTCTTCAAGCTGGGACAAGCAGACACTTTCCAAGCAATGTTTCCGGTTAATCCCCCCTATGTATGTTGTTGTTGTCAGAGTGGTGGGAGATCGAGTGCCGTGCCTTTCCTTCCCTGTTGTCATACATGGCGGCATTGACATCTAAACTGTAGGAGCTCGCTGATCCTTGTTTAGAGCAAGCAGCCTCTTCATTTTGAATCATTCGAAAGGACCACAGTGCTCTACTAGGTAAAATAACTTCGGTGTATTTGGCGCTTGCGAGTTATTGCCAATATGCTAGAGTCGTGAAGCAACGTGGCCGCGGGTTAAAAATAGGTACCCCCACATGGAACCCTGGCAAATGGAAACATGTACTCAAACCTGCTCCCCTGGTGGTTTAATTTTGATCCATACCCACATCATAATTCGGGTGACTTGAATTGGGGTTTTCAGATCTCACACCAACTGTTTCCCCGTGCAGCGTGTTTGGCCAAGATTCAGCCGGGTTTTTGGCGCGCCTTGGGCTTCCAGGCAATTGCCCCAATGCCCCTGGCCGGGCTGCCGTACAAGTCGGAAGTTTGGAACGAGCTTACAGTGTCTGCTGGGTGCTGAAGTCCCTTTGCCACAGAGTTGACATGGCAGATCACGAAGCAGGGCAACATGCTTCATCCAAAAGATATATTGGCCACGGATGAAACTTATGACCACGACATGCAACTGCTGTCTCTTTTGTCCATGTCTCATCCGAGCACCCTGCGTTGTGCGGACTGCTGGATCACGTAGACTGAGCATGGCCGACACACCGGGGAAGCCATGAGAAGGGAAGCACATACCTGGCCAGAGCTCCCGCAACTGTTTGTCCTTGCTGAACCTTCATGTTTCAAAGCTTAGGCGAGACTCAGATGAACATGCAAGAATGCGGGAGGGTGGTCTTTGTCAGATGGCTTCTGGTTGAAGCCAGAACTTTCTACATGTCAACACCATGTAGAGTTCTCACATAGTAACGTTTTGCATGTGACATGGTAGCACACGAACACGACAGAGTGAAACTCCGAGCCAGCATAAGGTGTTCCGTTGACAACTGAGGTCGAAAGAGCCAACATGGCAGACTCTTGTTTTCTTCATCCTGTTCCCTGCCTTGGTCATTGCTTGTTTTGATTGGTTTTGTTGCACGATGGATCCACTTGTTTTTGCTGGTTTGTGTCTCTGTCTGGCTCCCGGGTCCTTGGCCAAGAGGTTATAGATTCGATGCCGCTGAAGAGATTTAACCAACCAGACTGGGGCGAGTCAGGAAAAGGCTGCTGATTGAGAGAGTGATGGTCAAGTTGGAAGTTGGGGCGGGCATGCAGAAAATTCTGCCAACATGGCGCTCAACTATCACCGCAGAACGGTGGTTGTTGTCTTCCAAAGCAATGAGCGTGCTCTTGTTTGCTGGGTGAAACTATGTCATACACTTGGACATGAGAATGCAGGCGCGGCTCGGCTTCAACCTGGCTTTTACACGCAGTCTATTGGGGGCCCAAAAGGTTGTACAAGTTTTGAGCTGAAGCAAGGCCTGTGACTGGTATGATTGCATGACTGCCCACAGCTGAAGCACCCATTTGCTGTCTTCACGTCTTTCTGCAAGGCATGGATCCAAATGAGCCCCACATGTGAGTACAAGGCAAGTCTAGAATGCTCATGCACAAGGAGTTTCCTTCATGCATGCGGTGCTCCAAAGGAGAGGGCACGCGGTGCGCTTCTGGCGGCGGTCACTGCGTCCTACCTACATTTCTCTTCTGGAAAATGACGCGAAGAGTGTAAAACTTGTAAAACACGACAGTCACTAGCCCCAAGAACAAATCCAACACACTACTGTGCCAGTGTCTTCAAGTCCGCCTCTCGTTTGCCATGCAGCTGGCAGCGCAGGCCAGATGGGGGTAGGGTGTCGGCTATACAGCAGTGCCTTGGGCGCAAGCAAAGCTGACAGTGTAAGAGGATCACCAAACATGCTTCCGGTGCCGGGCTTGCAAAGTCAAGCTTGCTCCCAGTAAGCCAGCTATGAGTCCATGAGCGGCTGTTGTCCATCCCAGCTGGACATCCACATGCTGCGGCCAAGAAGGTTTCGCCATCATGAGATTCCCCTGAGACGCCCTAGAATCGCACCACAAAGGCAATCCCCAACTGTAAAGCTCATTGTCCTTGCTGGACAATTTGAAGTGTTGCTAGCTGCTGGCATCCTTCTTTGACAGGCTAGGCTGATTCGGGTTTCCACGAAGGTGGCAAAAGCAGGTAGCTCACTTCAGCACCGTACTACTCTGCTTGGCCATTTCCGAAAACACAAGTTGCGATGCCATAAATCACTACGTCACACCAGCCTGTTTAGAGCGCAGGTCATTTGCTACACATGACGCTCGCTTCGTGCCTGCAACCGCGCGCAGATTTTCCGACGCCGCACCCTGGGCCGCGCGCTGCTTCTGTCAGCGGCCATTGGCTGCTGATCTGCAGGGGCAGAACAATCGTTTGTCACCTGTGACCCTGTGACTGATTGATACTACTTGGGAAGCAGGGAAACTCAGTCCGAATGCCTTCAAATCCCAGGCAGCCGTGCCGCCTTCAACCTCGCACGCCGGCCGCTGTTGGCCTTTGCCAGTGCGCAGGTGCGCAAGACCCTTTGTTCTCAACCAGTTCTGTCCCTTCTAGTGGTCCATCTTGGAGAAACACAGTGGGGTCGTGCTGCGGTGGCTGCCTCAAATTCTTAGGTCCATTCCATGTAATTTGTGATTTTCTGGAGTGCTTTCTCGGATAGCTATTACTGGAGTCCTGATAGTCACACATGTAGATTTGGACAACACATTGTTGGCACGGCTTTTGATTCATACTTTTGAGCTGGTTAGGCACATGCAGTCCACCCATATCTTGAAGCCTTAGCTTGACTCAAGCCACAGCAGCTCGTTTGCCACACTTACAGTTGCAGTCGCTTCAGCCAATCCGCCCTTCAATCGTGGTGTGGACCTTGCAGCGGTGCTTTCTTAATCTTGCTCAGTCGTTTGTCTGCTTGGCAGCCATAGCTAGTCGAACAATTCAGTCTTAGTACTCTTCCTGATTGTTTATCATGCTGCATGGCAGGGGTTGGCAAGTCTTGAGCCTCGGTGCTGTCCAGCAAAGAGCATGCCAGAAGTGAGACTGTGTGACGACCTCCAACTCAACCTGGATGTTTGAATTTGAAGATTTGAAGTTGAGCTCAGCTGAAGGCACGCCTTGCTGTCTGAAATGTATACTCCGTCAATGGCATGGTAGGACCAACATCGTGCAACATGTCGATTTGTATGGAAACATCGTGCATTGTCACACTGTACCCTGATTGAGACTGAGTCCAGGCTTTCTGACCCTTCATGGCTTGGTCACAATGCAGAACCCTTTGCCAGGCAGGCAGCACAGCCAGTGGTGCCTTGCTCAGCTCGGCCTCGCGCAGATCAGGTGGCCCCCATGCTTAGAAAGGGCGTGCAACAAGCTATACATTCCAATAGCAAGGGGCAAAACGTTCTCAAGCTATAGTATACTATAGAACCTTTAGGATTCGGTTCATTACGGTTCATTCGGTTTGATATTCGCACGATCGAGCGGCTCCAAGGCCCCGTGACCCTTCTGGGTCAGCAAGAGGCGATCGCCATTGATGAGGAGCTGATGTCCACCCCAGGCAGGGCACAAGGCCGTTTCGACCTAAACGTGGCAGCACGCTTTGCCATTGAGGCCGTGTTCAAAGACTCCTGCATTTCAGCATGAATGACTGTGTTGTGCTTTTGATTATGACATAGATTTGCTGCTCCTCAAGTGCTATGTGCCCTGATGTTTTGTGTTTGCTGTCGTTTGAAGGGTCTGCAGTTGTCCCGTAGAACTCGCTCAAGCAAGCGTTGTTCTCGCTGGCTATTGCAGTCGTCATATAACGATAGCTCTGTAGTAGGCGCTTGCTGGAGTTTTGGCCGCATTTGCCAACTCTAGGGTGGTAGGAGACGGTGGTCGTGATGTGTGAATTGTGTAGTCAAGGGTCTCTCATTTCAAAGGCCAAATGTTAGAGGACAGGATCACCTGTGCCAAGTTATTTGAAGGAACAGTTCGATGTGATGGTGTGATGACATAATTTTGGAACACGCGTGCAGGAAGTATTCTGCTAGATTGCACAAGCTCACTGTCTTTAGGCGTTGTGTTGGCGCTCATTTTGCTGTGCCCTGCTTGTCGCAAGCCTTCTAGAATGCTCAAGAGTTTTCTGATCTGGAATGTTAGAAGTCAAGACGAGGTGTGTGCAGACAGTGGTTGCTTTATCTTGGTGTGTCTTGCCGGCAACCCTGAACCTTGGAGGGTTGGGGTGCTGGAGTGGTGTGAGATCCAGGGGGGCT